GCCCTTTCTTTCAGGCTTCCCTCCCCCCGTTCGCCCGCCGGGATTTTTTTCCCCCGCCTCAGCCGGAGCGGCGAAGGTTCTTTCTCTACGGAGACATGAGGTGAGGCGGGAGAAGAAGATTGCCCCCCTCTCTCCGCGTTGGGGAGAAGTCCGGGGGGCACGGGAAGGGGGGAGGGGCGGCGGCGACGACCGGCCGGACTACAACTCCCATCGTCCCCGCCCTCCTGGCTGTGGGAGGGGAAGTCGATGGGGAGAGGTTAGCCCCGCTCCCAAGCTCCTCGGGGGTGGCTGACTACAACTGCCATCGCTCCGAGATTCCCAGGCCGGCCGGCGAGCGATGGGAGTTGGAGTCCCAGGCGAGGGTGGAGGAGAGGACGCCCCGCGTGGAGCAGGAAGGTGGAACCTCCGAAAACAGCGGCAGTCTATCCCGGGAGGGGGAAGGAGAGGCACTGATGTTTTGAGCACTGTTGTTGATATTATTATTATTATTGCTAATAATAATTGTTGCTGTTCTGGGTTTCAAGAGGATCGTGGCTCCCACAGGAGAATTGCGTTGCCAGCCAGCCCGCCCGCCCCTTCCTTAGGGGACTTTCCTATTGAATTCCTCTTCTTCTCCCACCCCCACCCCCTTTCCCTCCCCCCGCAACCCCCCTGCAAGGTAGGCTTCCCAGGCCAAGGCTGCCCTGCCCCATTTGCTCCCCGCCGTCGGATGTGTGGACTTCGCTCCCCAGAATTCCCTGCCACAGCTGTGCCAGTGGCGGATCCTGGGGGGGGGAGTCCACCCCTCTGCAAATATAGAAGCAAATATAGGTCATCCCCAACCCGTACTTCACACCCAGCAACACAGCCCCAGATGTCCTTCAGGGGCCAGGCTGAAGGCACTGACTGGCCCGTGATGATCACTTGTAGCTCAAGCTACCTTAGGAGACCCCAAACTGGGGGCACTGCACCCCAGGAATCCAAAGGTCTTAGCATTTATTCCCCTTGGCTTTCAACACCGTTTCCCCCCACCTGGTGCTCACCCAAGGCGCTGCCCTTCAAGCACAAGAGATGCAGTCTAGTACATCTGGTTGGGGGTAGCCGATCAGTGGCCCCGAGGGTGACTGAAAGGGTGTGTGTGTGTTTGTGTGTGTCTTGGCTCCTTTGGGGAAGAGAGGGAAGCCTGGATAGGGCTGTGGTGGTGGCTTGCAGAGGCTCTTGGTCATCTTCCCCGACCCATGGAGGGGAGGGGCATTACGGGGTAGCGGGGAATGTATGTTGGTATAAAGATAGCAGGGGATGGAAGCTCTGCAGACAAGACGGAGTCTACCCTCTAAAAATGCCAGATGCTGGGACCCTGATACGTCCAGAGAAGACGACCCGCGTCTCCTTGCCCTGTTTTGAGCTTGAAGAGGCGTTGGATTAGCTGAATACAATGGACCCTTCACCTGATCTTGCAAGGTTCTGTTTGTAAGGCAAGGGGGCATTTGGGTCTGGGGATTACCAGTCACCACCTTGTATGTTGCTCAGAGCAGGAAAGGCTTGGTCCTCTTGAGGCCCCAGGAAGTTAGCTAGAACCTTCCAGGATCTGGATTCCAGCAGTTGGGGGGGTGGGAGCCGAGGGGGGTCAGGTTACAGATGGGAGAGTTAGCCACAAGGAAGAAAGACATTTAGCTGAGCTGTGGGGAATCGGTGCCATCAGAGACCCAGTCTGTGGGCTACGAAAGCCCTGTAGGTTTCAAGCTCTCCCACCCAGCGAGGGTTCCCCATCCTTTATGTAAAGGAATGATGTGCAGAAGAGAATCTATCACAGCATGTGCTTTAGCTTAATGTTTTTTCCTCCTCCTCCATTTCTTTTAGGGGCGACCGAGGCCGTGGCCGTGGCGGACGCTTTGGGTCTCGGGGAGGCCCTGGCAGCGGGTAAATCCCACATGGGGGTCGCTTATTAAACTGGTTCCTACACCAAGAGCCACAAGCCCAGCAGCGGGGAGAAACTTGCATGTTTTGAACCCCAAGGGTTCAAAACTTCCCAGCCCTAAAGCTATCAAACGCTTTGCAGCGAAGGAAATTTCACTATGCTTGCGAGTAACAGTTGGGGCTACCTTTCTGCTGCTTCCTCTGTGGCCTGTTGTGAAGGCCTTGGGGGAGATGGCGGCCTTCATCCCTGGTTAAGTCTCTACAAGACCTGATGCTTCAGAGAAATAATGCTGCTGCTGCTGCAGAGGGCTCCTATATATAACATTTTTCAGCTGTGTTGATCAGCCACTTAAGAGCCTACTCCCCTGGTAGAAGGCCTTATTCTGATAATACTCAACTCCTGCCTGGCCCAGGGAGTCTAGCTGAGAATCCAGCGCCTTCTGCCAGCAAAGCAGAAATCTGCCGAGTGCCAGGGGAGGAACTCCTGTTGCTGTTTCTGCTTTCGAAAATGATTTTTTTCCCAACCCTGGGAAAATTTCCCTATTTCCCAGTTTGCACATTCCAAACTGCAAAATGGATCAGGCAGCCGTCTCCCACAATCTGAATCAGTCATCCAGTCTCACAAGCTGGCCATCGTGAGCAGTGGTTTCATCCACGGGCAGAAAAGGGGCTCTAAAATCCATGAACAGATAACCTGTTGGGTTGCATTCTACTGCAGGCGGGGGAGCCCGTCTCGCCTTCAGGCAGGCGTGAAACCTCACCTCTCTTCTTTGCTGTGTTCCAGGTTCCGACCTTTCGTGCCTCACATCCCTTTTGACTTTTATGTGGTAAGTAGGTCTGGCTGCCTCTTCAAATGTGCCCGTAGAAAACTTAAAAACAGTAAATTATCGAACTGAGCAGCTTGAGAACACGCAGAAAATAAGGCCTGATCTTTTGGGGCTGCCCTTAAAACCAAAAATAGGTGCTGGACGTCAGCTGGCCACTGAGTATTTGCTGATGATAGACGTTTAGGGGAAAAAAAACCATTGCCGGAGAATCAAGGTTTTAGGATTCTACACAAAGAAATATAGCAGGCATATTATAGCTGATCAGTGTTTTTGGTTTCCCAGTCCTGTTGACTTGATCTTGCCAATTTTCGTGGCACGTTTGCATCTGTCGAATCTTTAGCCTTGCTTGAGTGTTAAGCCTTTCTCCAAAAGGCATTGCTGGAGATGTAGGAGGGCAGGGAGCCGTAATCCCCTGCATAAACCGGACTTTCTGCCTCCAGTGCGAGATGGCTTTCCCCCGGGTGAAGCCAGCCCCTGATGAAACTGCTTTCAGCGAAGCCTTGTTGAAGAGAAACCAGGACCTCGCTCCAACATCTGCTGAACAGGTATGTCCTGCAAGTTCCTCCCAGTGTTAGAGGCGACAGGAGCTTAAAACTGAGTAGGGGTCTAATTTCCATGATTTTAAGCATGCTGGAGGATGGAGAATTAAGCCTTTTAATGTCTTTTTTTCCCCTCTCTCTCTCTTCCAAATTAGGCTTCCATCCTCTCACTTGTAACTAAGATCAACAATGTGATCGACAATTTGATTGTGGCACCAGGAACGTTTGAAGTGGTGAGGTCCTTTTTGCCCCCGGTTGGGGCCTGGGGAATAGCATTCAGCCAGCCAAGGGTTAAGCGAGTCAGATTCAGGGGGCTGGAACCGAGTTTCTTGGCTTGAGTTCCCAGGACATCCCTCCCCAGCGCAGTTACGTTTGCGCAGTAGCCGGGTTTGATCGGTCGCAGCCTAGCGTGGTGTGCCAACTGAACCGGTTGGGTTTGTTGATTGCTCAGAGTGTTCTGCAAACCTGGAATGTGGGTTAACTCAGTAACCAGGTTACATACATGACTCGGCTTTCTTGTCCTTGGCCCTTGATCGACAGCGTGCCATTTGCCGACTTCCTACAGGCAGCCGACTGGTGCAACCTGCCTAGTTCCCGATGGTTCGTACAAACCAAGCTGTGTAATGCTTGATATGCTGGGTCTCCATCTTTCTTTTTTCCTTTCTCTCCTTCCCAGCAAATTGAAGAGGTTCGCCAGGTGGGCTCATACAAGAAGGGGACCATGATGACGGGCCACAATGTGGCGGATCTTGTTGTGATCCTAAAAATCTTGCCCACATGTAGGTGTTGGGGTTTGCTCGGGGGGGAGGAGGGTTGGGTTGAGGGGTCACGGCATTCTACGCTGAGCTTTGCCTTCTCCCACAGTGGAAGCCGTTGCCGCCTTGGGGAACAAAGTCGTGGAGAGCCTGCGGACCCAGGACCCCACAGAAGGTAAGTGACGGGTCCCACAGAGTCAGACGTCTCCTCCCCCAGATACGGGTTTGGTAATGTCATGAAATAACTGCCTTTTTTTTCCTCCTCCTGCCGGTGGCGTCCCCTTTTTAACCTCTCAGTGCTGACCATGCTCACCAACGAGACTGGCTTTGAAATCAGTTCCGCGGATGCGACAGTGAAAATTCTGATCACTACCGTGCCCCCCAATCTACGCAAGCTGGACCCTGAGCTGCACCGTAAGGATATCTGGCTGCTGCCTTTTTTCCTCCCCCACCCGCCCCGTGGGAATGGGAGCGGGCTGGAAAAGTTGAGTAAGGAAAAAGGGTATTGTGCGAACAGGTCCTGGTTTTCAGCATGCTTTAGGATCATTCTGAACAGTGGATATGGAGGAGGCAAACTCTACAAGTGAATAATAAAACATTTCCCCCCAGTGGATATTAAAGTGCTGCAGAGCGCCCTGGCCGCCATCAGGCACGCCCGCTGGTTTGAAGAAAACGCCTCTCAGTCCACGTGAGTTTTTTCTCTCTTTGTAATAATAGATTGGGGGAGCTGCCTTGCAAAACTTGTATTTTACCAGCAGTTTAAGCTTCCTAGTTTTTGGAGCCAAGCTGTTCTGAAGACTGTCACATTGCAGCTTCTCAGCATGGCCATCCCACGTTGCCACAATATTTTCACGGTCAAACAGGCAAGCGTGGCTCGAACACCAGTGAAACCCCCTGATCGAATGATCTTCGCTCCCATCGCACCCTGGTGTTGTAATTGTGCATGACCTGAAGAAATGTGCTGATGTGTGGAATAAGCCACACTCAGCTTCCTTGCCAAAAGTCTTGCATTAGAGAGGACCCAACTCTCCCCTTTCTTCTTTCAGGGTGAAAGTTTTGATTCGCCTGTTAAAGGACCTCAGGATGCGGTTCCCGGGCTTCGAGCCCCTCACGCCGTGGATTCTTGACTTACTCGTACGTCTCAAAACAGTGGGGAGTTTGACTTTCAAATGCTGGCTTTCTTGTGGCCTGGCTTCCTGTAGAGTTCCTGTAGAACTCAAATTTGAATTGGTGTCTTGCTCCCTGAGTGCGAGATCCGAAAGCAAAGCAGTTTAGGGAAGAAGAATCCATGTGGCCAAAAGCGCAGCCCAAATTGTTCAATCTTAAACATTTTTTACTGAGAGCTACTCCTGGATTTGAACTAATTGCAAAGTTTCCCCTGCTTCTAAATAGTTGTCCCGATCCACAGCACATCTGGCAAAATGTTGGCCATGACAATGTAAATTCCGGTTGCACTGAGGCTTTTAACACTGATAGGTTTGGGCTACCAGGCACAGGGAACTGAGAACCAAACCTCTCCTTGTACTAAAGCCAAGGACTCCCTTCTCTAATTCCAGGGACACTATGCAGTTATGAACAATCCCACCCGACAGCCGTTGGCCCTCAACGTCGCCTACAGGTACGGTTGAAAGCGATGCCAAAATCCCAAGAATCTGAGAAAGGCATTTTCCCAAGGGTGAAAGAGTTTGAGAGCTTCAGATTCTGCAGGATTGGGGAACGCACCCCATTCTTCCCACCCCACCAGATTTTTGCGCTCGCTTTTTGGAATTAAAACAGCAGTGACGTGAACACCAGTTCAAGAATGACCATAAAGATAATGGCCTTGCTGTTTTGTTCCAGGCGTTGCCTTCAGATCTTGGCCGCAGGGCTGTTCCTTCCTGGGTCGGTCGGCATCACTGATCCTTGCGAGAGTGGAAACTTCCGAGTCCACACGGTCATGACCCTGGAGCAGCAGGTAGCGTCCTCTGTTGTCATCTGCCTTAAATTTGGGCAGCCCGCAGCTAAAAATCAGAGTCAGAGGCCCCCAGTTCACCTCAACTGCAGCCAAGTCACCTGTTCAGCCTGGATGTCCCACCATTAGATGTAGCCTCACTTCGTGGTTATGACTGTAAACTTTAGCTAGAGTTTTGGTTTCTCTGCGTCACTTGCAGCTTCGTGTTAGAATCTCTGTTAGAAGCACGGCCTAACTTCCCTGTAGTTGTTAAATTATGCAGAAGAGATGCAGTGCTGGGTGAACGGTGGGCTTAAAGCTCTCCTAGGTGTTAAGCCCACTACCCAGGACAGCCTCCATCTTTTCCTCCTAGGACATGGTCTGCTATACAGCTCAAACCCTTGTTCGCATTCTCTCTCACGGAGGGTACCGGAAGATCCTCGGACAGGAGGGAGATGCCAACTGTAAGTGCAGAAGCGTTTGGGGAAGCGGCAGAGGGAGGGAGAGGCTGCCGATCTGAGTCTGAAATGAGAACCAGGGAAACATGCATCAAGGGAGCCCCACCCCTACGGCTGCCCCTGCGGTCCCTGTAAAGCCTCGCCCCAAGATAAAACCTAATTGCACGAGCTGATCTGGGAAGAGGAGGACTTTCACACAAGGGGAGGCGGGAGTGCTCCTATTCCTGGTTCTTGCTTTGCAGACCTCGCGACTGAAATGTCTACCTGGGAAGGCGTGATTGTGACTCCATCAGAGAAGGCTTACGAGAAGCCGCCGGAAAAGAAGGAAGGGGAAGAGGAGGAAGAGAACCAGGAGGAGACAGCTACTGGAGAGGAAGAAGAAAACATGGAAACTCAAGAGTGACTTGGGCCCTCAGGTACCCCTTGGCCTTTCTGTCATCCCCTTCCAACAGGCTCGGGCTGATTAGTTTTCTCCCCTCCTCTGAATGGCCTCCTGCTCATGGTCTTCCAGATGTTGGCAAGAGTCAACAGTCCTAGTGAGGACATCAAAGGGCTCCTTGGGGCGAAACATTTGCAGTTTTGATTGTAACTTGGCATCCCAAAGCAGGAGTCGAAAAGTCAAAGCGGTTCTGTTTCTGTCTTTCAGTGGAATTCTCCACGCCTAAAACTTGATGGATGAACGAGCCGTAGGATATGACCAAGCCCCGTCCTCCTCCTTTCTGTTAACTTCTTATGTCTTTGTTTTTATAACTCTTACCATTAAAATGGTGTGTTCCTTATAAAAGGTGTTTTGTCTCCAGGGAAATCGCAAGTTTTGTAATTCTTTGTTGCTATTTAATCCGAGTGGCCTGAACATTACCATCAACAAAAAAATGCACATTTCCTCATCAGGGCCCTCTCCGCTCCCTTTTTACTATCCTCTTCGCTACCGGAGAGAACACTAAACTTTCCTCAACCTGGGTTATTTTTCTGAATTTTTCACGCCAACCTTCGATCTTCCTGGGCCTGCCTTCTGAAGCTGTCAGAACAAG